AATAATTAACATCTATATTCTATATAGGTACCTAACTAAAAAAATTCTTGTAAATTTACAAGTAATTATATTTTAGGTACCTACCTATTTAATAATTTTATAACAGAGTAATAATTTCAGTATAATATCATGACACAAAGCTATCAGAAAAATTTTAATTTGTTTACAATTTCACATAAGTTTACTTAGATATTTACCTAACACCTAGACCTTGGTAGTAGGTTTCTATCTGACAGTAAAAATAGAAAGATTTAAAATTATATTTACCAGCAAGATTCGGTGAATTAATTCGCATATATTATTGAGAATTCTGAAGCGTAGTTAAGTCACCATTCAAATTTAAGACATTAGGGTATCTACGTGGAAGGATATGGGGGTCATATATTCATAGGCCTCGGGAAGTTTTCTATAAATTCCTCAGTAACATAAAAAGAACTATAGAATGTTTCCACAATTTATTAGTTTTACTTGTTATATTTTCCTAAATAATTATTGTTTGGGATCGACTTAATGACTTTTCCATGCTATCAGTGTACTGACATTTATGAAGTAGGTTAGTAGGTACTCAACGTTGAGACGTATTTATTGGGGGGGTATCAGGGATGAATTGCCTCCCTTGGATTTTTATCAATATTATTATTTTTATTCTTATAAAATGTCTTATAGGGAGTAACTACCGAAAAAGGTTTTAATAAAAAAATGTACCTATTTACCTTCTAATATCTATAACAACTAAACAACATAACTTTTTTTTTAACAATTTAATTTGGTTTTTAATGGATCATTTTAAACACACTCTTTTAGTAAATACAATAGAGCTTCGACTGGTCGTATTTGATTTACAGCTTCCGCAAATATCTGCATGACTTTATTTGTCACAAGTTCTTCGTGATCGTGATTTGATATCGTTTTTAAAGTTTTCAATTATTTGAATTTGATTGTTCTCCGCGTGGTTGTGTTCAATTTAAAGTTCCTATACAGGGTTTGTTAACTCCGACAATGATGACAGTATTCCTGGGAATTTATTCATAGTTTTGTTACTACATTTCCACCGTTTTGGTTTTGCTAACGTAGGTATATTGAACTATTGAAGGGTATATGAATACCTTATAAATAAATATCCACAACTATTTTGGTGCCTATTTCATTTACTACTTGTATACAATTTCTGAAATTTTTTTTTCGAGAGCAACTATATAATCAACTAACAAAATATTGAACCATACTGACAAAAATTGAAAAATGAAAATTGTTCAGTTACACATACCGTATATTATAGTATGTATAGGTACAAATGCTAAGCACAAAATTCGGATTAATTAATTACCGATCTGGATTGATCAGGATCGAAACAAAAGTATAACAATTCGTTATATAAATATATAAAATACATTGATGTAAAAATAGTATTAGCCATTAKGCATTTAAGCTTAAGCTCTAAGTTTAGTCGAGAAATAATCTCTGTATATCAGTATATCTTGGGGTACCTCGACACTTCTTATTTACAGTCTGGGTGATGACTATTATTTTTTGTTTAAACATACTACTTTTTATAAAATCGATACAGGGTTGACTCATAATATGAAGTACCTATTGAAGTGTAGTAGTATACCTATATACCTATCATTTATTAATGTCAATGAGTTACTATAATGTTTAAACTAAATATTAAAAAGTAGGTTAGTTAATCTTCATTAAAATACCTACAAGTAAAACTCCGGTAAAATAATAAATGCATTACACTTTTGAGATAATGAAATCTTTAAATAACAACTTTTTTAATAATAATTATACTTACTATAGCTGTCCCGGGTCAAGAATTTGTTACCTGTTAAAAATGATATCTCTACTTATATGTTATATGATATAAACTATGTCGAATTTGTTATTCAATATTCGGTGATTCGGTGTATGGTATTCAAAACTTGAAAAATCTCATCAATCATTTTGAATTATTTTTTAGTGCATACTTATAGGTACCTACATTTTTATACAAAGGTATCATTATTTAGAGAAGTGGTTCCCAACCTTTTATGAGTGTGACCCTAAAATTTTAAATTTAACTTTTGGCGACCCAAAAAAAGAACATAATTTGTTTTCTTCCGAAATTGAAATTATAATATAATAAAATATAATATGTAAATGTAAGAAAAGCTTTTGCGACCCACCATGAAAACCTCTGTGACCCTAATTTGGGTCGTRACTCGAGGTTGGGAACCGCTGATTCAGAGCTTAAGTTCTACGTTGATCAGTCAGCGAACGAGTTTACCTACCAGTTAAGACAACTATATAGATTCGATTATATTGTAATAGCAGTATAGCCATCCTGTCAGGTGTTTCCGGTAAGATAGGCTTATGTTAATAGTTTTATATAACTATAGTGTTGAGACTTCCTACGAGTTTACTATGTAGTTGTACTTGTAATATTATTAACAAATACTACTAATTAATACTTTATATTCAATGGACACATATCTGGATTGTATGTATTAATAATTGTGCAATGTGTTTTAGTTATAAGGAAAATAGCACAAGTAGTTAACTCGATTACAAATTATCGTATTATAACAACATTTCAGTTACATGTTGGATGACTTTACATATAGGGATAAGGTAAAGAACGATGGGCAGACGGTTTTAATACAAATGTGAGACATAAACGTTATCGCATTGTCAAATACCTGTGTGACTGTGTGTTTATTTCAAAATAAACTTTTTAACTTGGTATAACAGTTTGTTATTAATTATTACAAGTTACCTTTACTTACTACAAAAAACTCGTGGGAAGTCTACTTGTCTTGTACGTAACACTAAAAAAATAAATTCTCAGGTAAGACGTGGGAAATCCGCCTGCAGCGGATTAAAGACTTAGAGAGGCGCGTACGTAAACGTAATTAAAAATGTTATATTTGTGGATTTTCCTGAATTTCTTTCATATAAACCCTAGTTTATTTATTTATTTATTTAGTTGTTTTGACAATTTAGCCGTCACGGAATTTATATTGAACAAAAAAAAGGGACTTCGTTGTATATTTATTGATTTATTTATATACCTTTATAAATATTAAATACATTGTTTTTATAATAATATTTTATGTAACATGTTTTTTCATAAAATAATATTTAATAAAGTTTACTTGAGTAATTCGTATGGACTGGGTATTTGCATGTATTTTTTTTTTTTTTTTAGGTACAGGTGTAGGTCTCGCAAATGTTGACAGTGAACTGCCACTTATGGTCGATATTTGTGTTTGATCGGCAGAGGTCGCTTATACAACTAGGTACCTATGATTACCGAATATTTATGATAGAAGGTATGTGGTGATTGCTATGTATGATTGGTATCATTTGTTGATGTAAATTGGAAAGGTGTGAATTTGGCGTGGTCGAAAATGGTGAACGACAATATAGTATTAAATGTAGGTACTAAAATATTGGTAACTTTTTTMTCCGGGCTTTTGTCTGGGGATTTGGTGAGAGAAGAACTTGAAAATGTATACATTTTATGATACATAAAAATTAAAAAACTGTACCTAACCTAACTTAACCCTTACATCTATTAATTTAAATTAATATTTATTAGGTAGGTAGTAGGTACACAACTATATCTTAAAGCAGTTTTAACTGTACAATTGAATTCAATATGTAGGTAGTTGGTAGCCAGTAGCTAATGTCGTAATGTAGGTATATTATGTCAATATAAACAATTTTATGTATTACCTAATGTTAAAAAGTATAACATTTAAGGTAATTTGTTTATATATATATCTAATGTTTGTATATATATATATATATCTAACAGACTAACAGGTAATAGGTAGTAAGTACATAGGTATCATTAATTGGTAAAAACTAGTCGCCTAGGTATAGGGTTTTGTTTAATATATTGACCAGCTTGGCATCATTATTATAAACTAAAATAATAACTTTTTTTTGGGGAGAAGAGATAGAGGTATTTTAAAAGATGTAAAAATTATGTTTCTCTACATCACAAACATAGATCAAGCATTGGATGTATATCAGGTGTCGAATGAATCAACTCGTTATTCAGTAGGTCACTGTAATGTATGTGTTAAATTCAATAATGATTCTGAGCAAATRCCTGTTATTACATGTTACTATATTATTGTTATATTATTGTACCTATTTMTATTATTAAAAAACCAATTTAAAAAAATGTAAGATTAAATTGTCTAAAAAAGTTGTACAATAAATATATATTTTCAAAATCTTTAAGTTACTGTAAAAACAACTTATGAGGACCGTGTATCAAATCTTCTAGCTTAAGTTATTAAAATGTAGGTGTCTTGACACAAACACGACCTATAATAACACATAAGACATATAGCCGTACACAAAAAAGGTATAAATGATTGTTGGCACAGTGTTCAAAACAAACAGATACAAATTGTATGGATTAAGAGGACGCCACAACCGCATGTGTTGTCTCCGTCGTACAAGTGCGTAGCATACCAAATTTTACGCTCAGCAGATCACGTTTATCTCTGTTAATTTAAAATTTAGAGCGAATTGACTTATTATAAAAATTAAAGGTAAGATTATTACCGAGGGCATCTCATGGGCTTTTTATTATATTTTAATTTTAAAGCGAGTTATGACTATTTTAAAATTGTAAATTATTTTTATATCTAAAAATACTYATWAMTCGGTTTAAAATTAAAATATAATAAAAAGCCTATGAGATGCCCTTGGTAATAATCTTGCCTTTAATTTTTATAATAGGTCAATTCACTCTAAATTTTAAATTAACGTAGATAAACGTGCTTTGCTGAGCGTAAAATTTGCTATG